AGAATTCTAGAGCAAAAGAGAAAAAGAAATCTTTAATGTTTCACTTAACATTAAAAATTATCTAAAAAGGAAATTTTTAAGGAGCTAATTTTTGTACAAATAATTCAGATCTACAAATTTCCTTGTGAAACCAAATTTTTGTGGTCTCATGATTTTTAAGCTGCCATACAGTGGGCTGGTGATCATGTCAAGCCGCCATGCAATTGTGTTCAGTTACACAATCTGCATGATGTTATCATTGTACCAGGAATTTATATTTTGATTGGTTGGATAGAATTCATTTTCTCTATTTCTTCTTTCTTCTGTATTAATGCCAATTTTTTGTTGTAAAGGCTGTATATTTTCTATATTGGCTTTCATTTTATTGTTTCTGGATGAACAGCCATTTCTATTTTTATTTCTATTCCAATTTTTGTAAGGGAAATGCGCTTGTGCTTTGCACATTTTGTTCGGCAAAGTGTTGTAGTTTCACCATTGTTTTTCTGGAATTTGCGAGCCTTTGGGAAGTGAATTTGGCGAGTCTATTGCTTTTTCTTTGCCTTTTCTATATTGGTAGGTGTTGTTGCTTTTATATTTTATGTTGTTTTGATGTGGTGCGGCAGCAATTCCTGAATTTTCACATTTCTCTTGGAAAAATGCTGTTTCGCCATTTCTTTGTTTTCTGTGACAGCGATTTCTTTCCTGCTGGTTTTCAGACCACCAGTATCAGTCATTTCTCTCATTGCTAAGAGCGAGAGAGAGTTGGAATAAGGTGTCATCTTGGTCTTCGTTTATATTTTCTTTTTCTTCGGTATTTTCTTTGTTGTCATCATCATCGTTAATGTTGTCACTGTCTTTATTGTCATCATTGTTGTCATTCGTTGTCATCCAAGGGATGCTGGTCGCATCCCAGTCATTATTTTTCTCATAGTTGTCATCCTGGAAGGTCTGTTAGAAGATCTTTTGCTGTTTTTTAACTTGTTTTGCTTTTTGTAGCTTTCTTGATCATCTGACCAGTGTCTAAATGATTGTGTGATCTCATAACCGTGATTCTGGCTGAATTCGGACTGAATTCTGGGATCACTTCTGGATCGGTCGTATATTTTCTGGTCGGAGTTACTACCTTCGGACCGAGATGTCAGGACCGTTGTGGACTTTTCAGAATGTAGTAAAACTTCCTCATCTTGTAGAGGAATATTTTTCCAGCTACAAAGAGAATGATACAGGTCTGCCTCTTCATTATAATAATATCCAGAATAATAGCGAGAATGATCTTCTTCTACTAGAGGTAAATTTGTTTCTTTTTCATTATCTTCATCTTTATCATCATCATCATTATCTTCTTCATCTTGCAGTTGAATGATAAGTTTTTCTTTTTCTCTTTCTTCACATTTACTGCAATTATGATGATTCAGATGATGTCTATTTCTACACCAGTGGCAAAAACAATTTCTTAGACTATATTCTCTATGAAAGTGTTTCTCTTCGGCTGCATCTTCATATTCAATTATTTTTAATACTTCAACACAATCCCAACATTT